GAGGGGATATGCATACATCACCAATAGAATAAATCATTTATATCTAAATCACGAACTTTATCGTATTAAACCAAACATAAAGAGTGTCAACGTGTATTTTTACAGGCAGAGCAGAGCATCATATCCAGCTTATACATTTGTTTTATAACATCCTATAATAATTGCGTGTATTTATTGTAGGCGAGGGAAGGTTGTGGTTGTTCTTCCATAGCGGTTCTAAAAAATAAAAAAAAGAGTCTAGTCGGTAGTTATCTGTGTTGTGGTGAATTGGTACTTTATGTGGGTATGAGGATTGTGGATATCCGACATGAGAAATCTGAAATGCGCACTCAACATACTCATCAGGAGCCTGAGGATAGACCTTTCCGGCGATAGAGGCGTGCACGCTACGGCTGGAAGCACCGCTGGCGGAGGGAGACGGGGGTGATGCGTCATGTTTGCAATGTCTCCTGTACCCAGCTCCGTGCTTCAAGGCGTTCCATGGGCTTCAGGGAACCCACTGAATGCCCAGTGGAAAGTAGAACCACTTTTTGTGTTTTTTATAACCAAGGTAGAAACAAACCAATGATAATTTATGGTGTTTTGGCCTCCCGTGAAACCATTCAACTTCGTGTACACATCAAATAATGAGTATGTACTGTAATGTAAGTCTTTCATGGCTATATGCTATGGATAAGATAACCTCCAGGCATAAACACCTCTCAAGATGCGTCTAACCGGGAGGAGAGCCACTCAACGAATTCTCGGCCCGTTCAATGTGAGCTACGCCTGCTCCTGCCTGCATAATACTTATATATATTTACTTATAGAAATTAGTTATTTGTTTTCCAGAGGTCGCCGTATTTTGTAGGGTCCCGCGTTTGCATCCCCGTGCTCGACCACGATTTTGTTAAGAAAGGCGTCTAAGCAGGTAAGGATGACACTGGTAAAACCCAAGATTTGCCCTCACCTCCAGACAGGAGTACCATGGATATAAGACAATAAAAGCTTTGCATCTCTAATCCACTCATACCAATTGGGTGAAATATACACAAACTATGAGGAACTTACCCATATGTTAGATTTATTTGATTATATCAGTTATTCATTCAAAATAAACCCTGTTTCAGATATGATGAAGTCTAAAGGATGACAAAAATTTAGTTACATCTAATATCAATATCTAAAGATTACAACTGTTATAATTTAATTATGTTCACTGCTTCAGAACCACATCAAAAGAAACTGAGGTAATATTACTAGCTTGTAAAATATAGAGAATGGGGTTACAATTGTGTTACAGATGTTTGGTGAGTTTGGCACATCATGAAAATTGCATGCCAGTTCTGCTTCAAACTCACTAAAGCTTTTTAACCACTTCCTATTGGTTTAACTTCTTCACCAAGGTCAATAAGCCCCTGCATCTTGTTTTAGATTTTGGGTCTTGGACTGTGAACTTATTACGTCTCTTTATCTTGGTAGGTTCATCCAAAGACCTGCCAATCACTTTCCACCAAAGTTCCTCTCTTTCAGAACTCACCCCGAGTACTTTCCTCTCCTTCAAAATCCTGTGATTCAGTCTTCCTCCTTTGACCTAGAAAAGCTTTATTGCTACTGTGAATCCTGTTTACACAATGAAGCATTTCTAGAGAACAAGAAATTCTGCTGACCTATTCAGTATTATTAGCATTTATCATTGCCACAGATGAAGCGAAGAACTATACACAAATTTTTGGGTGTGGTAAAAACATAAGAATATTTGACTGTCTTTGCTGTCATCAATTATTTGTACAGGTTCTTCAGTAACCATAAACTTCCTATTGGCTGAAAAACCACAGTTGCCTAAAATAATGAGTGATACTTTCTATATCACTTCTTACAGTTTGGTTTACATGAGGGATTTGCAGGTAGCAAATATCAAGAAAAACTTACAATGAGATTTTTTGTACTAAAATTGTGGTGAGTTAGTGAGTGACTGAGTGTGAGAAATCCAACTGGATGAAAATATTTGCTTGACCAGCAGGTTTTATTCTACAAAAAGGCAGTCTTTGAATATCACTTAACTATTCCAATTGTGGAGTGCAGATATGACACAGGAAGAAATTGAGTATCACAATAACTGACACAATGAAGTAAAATATAAAATAATAATAGGGAAAAAGAAGACAGTAACTAACATGGAAAAAAGAAATGAAGTCTCAGCAAAGAAGAAAAGGTCAAGGAAAGAGAAAAGATTAAAAAGGTATCAAAGAATTATCTATTTCAATTCTGATTTCATTTAATTCATCATTTTCTCTGTCAAGAATTTAAATAAAACTAGGTCAAATAAAAAATATATGTGGGAAAAAACTTCTTTGTCCAGGCTTTGCAGCTTTTAAATATATTATTGTGAAGAACCATGATGCCTGTGCAGCTCTTTGAAAAAATACATTTCATCTTTTGTACTTTGTCTTGATTGTTAAGATACTGAGTGCTGCTAATAATATTATGAATAAAATTATAATGATAAGAGAAACACATATATGGATGATGGTATATATTTGATGTAAGACTTATGCAGTATAACTTCAAAAAGAAGGGGCAAATCACTGTTTTCATAAACATGATTATGTTAGCATTCTAAACACATGTTCATTTCATGCACACCAGGAGGATACTACTTAGATGATGATATATAGTTGATGTAACAATAAGGCATTATAGCAAAGAAAAAAATCACTGTTTACATAAATATGATTATTTACAAGTTCTTAACAAATGCTTATTTCTTGCAAAACAGAAGAATATGCATCAGATGTGCCTATCATTTCCATCATTTATAAACATAATTTTTCATTACATACCCATCAGTGATGAAATCATGAAAAAAGTCATGAAGTCAAGTACAGGTTCCAAATGACAACATCTAAATCCTGTTACCCAATGCCAATCATCCCTTGACATGGTCATTCCCTGAGTCTTTGTCTTGGACTTCCATTTCTTTGATATCTTCAGTATCTCTCATACCCTTTGCAGTTTTGAATCTTTGTGTATCACTGACTAAAAGTGTTGTTCCTATGTCTATGAAACTTATGTCTTGAACATGCCTTCATTTGATATAGCATTTGGCATATGACTTTGTGTGTGAAATTGCAACAATTACTGCAACTGTAGGATTCATCGGGCCAATATGGAACATTCCTGGGATTACAAGGTACCTCTTCAACAGGTTCACCTAGTCCCAAGACCTCTTCAACATCTGCTGTGACCTGTTTCATCTTCATGTTTTCTCTGGTTCTGAGGGGATTTCTGTCAGCCAGGCAAACACAGGATTCCAGCATAGTGACCTTGCCTTTGGCTACCTTCACCATCTTGGACATCTAAAGAGGGGAAGGGTACCCGACTTTCATATACTTGGCCAGTCACAGAGAGCTATTTCGCTCTTTCCTTCAAACTTCAAGGCCATTAGAACTGACACTGGGAAAATGTAATGTTTGCTTTAGTTTTGCTTTGTGCATTGTTTAAACATAGATGACCCCTCATGTGCTCAACCACCAAGGAGTTCATTAGTAGACCTTAGGACCTTACCTGATTTACTCTTTCCTTGAGTTTTAGAGATTTTTTTCTCTTTTTCTAATGCTATAAATATCATTAAGAATACTATTATCATAATGTCATTAACATTACTATTAGTAATATATGTTGAAACAGAATATTTCCAAAAATCAAGGAAAAGAATAAACAGCTGAGATATGTAGTACTAGTAATTGACTCCTTAAAAACTCCATACTACTGGACCCATCTATGTGTAAAGACAATTAATACACTAAACTCACAATGGGCATGGCACATATATACATACCATCCCACTGGCATTGGGTTAATCAATCTAAGGCACTAGCTCACTGCAGAATGAAAGGAAGCTGAGAGTCTTGAGTGCACAGCCATAGCAACCAAAAGGCCCTCCTGCATCTCTGGCAAAACCCTGTGAATGGAATAAGGAATAACGGTATATTAGAGATGACACACTATACACTATATACACATACACCATCCACACAAACACAAGAAAATATAATAATAGGGAGGAAAGAAAAAATAGTAATAATAATTTAAAAGTTAAACCAAGTGACAAAAGCTAAAACCCTTCATATTTCATTACTTTAATTCTTGCTAAATTATCTGTCCTCTTTGAAAAATAGATCACTCTACCCTAACCAAAGTTAAATCAACACAAAAAAAAAAGAAATGAAGGTAATCTAGGTGAAATAAATCTAAACATTGCTGGTTGCCTTATTTTCTCTTGTTTACTAATTGAAGAGAGAAAGAAAGTGAATTTGCATTTGAAGTTGCTACATCAACAATTAAATACATTTGAATAAGCAAGACCTATTCCTTAGAGAAACAAGACAAACAGCTCAATATAATACTTGTAAAAGAGAAAAAAAATAGGCAAAAATAAACATTTAAAGAATCAAATAAATGGATAAATATATTTACTGAGAGAAAAAAATAATCAAACACTAAATTGCAAATGATGACACCTAGCAGGAAAAGACTACATAACACATAATTACATGAAAGCAGTACTGGTATATTATCTTGCTGCCTGTAATACTGAAAGCAGTAATCATCTAAATCTGTACTTGAACTTTTACTTGTACTCTGCTATCAGATAAGTTCTATATGTCTTGAATATGCCACTTCATGCTAAAAACAATCAATACAAACGTATACTACACATTACTCTAATTTCACAATAATCATTTTATATATGATATGGGTTCTACAATAAAAGATATTGTACAGATTCCTGCTCTGAAATTCACTATCAAAACCAATATATACAAAAAAAAACATTAGCACTCCTTCAGTGTGTGCATTGGCTATAATATTATGCATGATTTTTAAGACATACACTATATTAGGAAGTTTCTTCTTTAATTTACATTTTCAATCTGTTTCCTTGCAGATTTTATGAAACTAATTTCTCTGAAAGTAAATGTAGAAATGGTGGGTTAAAATGTTAAGGAAGCAGAAGTATGTGTACTTTATGTCCAGAAAAATATCTTAAGAATATCTGTCCAATAATATCCACCAATCTGCCAGAAAAAGGTTGAACTGAGAATAAATTGATAGATTTCTTGTATTTCTATCAACACTATATGGAGAATGGGAAACAAAAAACTGTTGAGCCTCTTATCGTTGCCACCCTATGTATAACTACAAATAAATCTTGGGAAATCCCCACAGAAAACTGCATATACCATATCTCAAGCACCAAAGCCTATCAACACATTGCATAAGACATGAGGCAGAAAGAATGAGTTAGAGAGCAAATACCTATAAATCACTGATTATCCTTACTCAAAATGTCTTTGTACTTCATACATGGGACAACAAAAAGAATGGTAGACAATAACTGTCCATAAAAGTATATACTACTACGTTATACAGTATGTATCATTTACCCCTTATCATCAGTTCAACTCTTCAATCAACCACAGGAGTTTAAAATTACTCAACTAGTATTTGTGATGTCATTTGAACTGGTAACATTGTGCATATGAGTGCACAAGTATGTGAAATAATTAAAGTAGTACAATGCCCTGCATTGTTAACCCTTTTGCCCTAATGAAAAACCAGCAGCATGCAGTTTGGGGAACAGAGGGTGTGTAGGCCCTGGGATTCTATATTGTGGTAGCCAATCAAGGGTTGAAAAAAGTTAGCATTAGAAATTCAGAATCATCTCTATCAATTCTGTGCAATAAGTGTTGTATTTTGTCTTTTTTAGAATATAATGCCAGTATCATGTAATATGATTTTTAAAGTTTTACCTTAACCCCTACAATCCAGATGACATGACTATCAGGTCATGAAAAAATCTTGCTTTAGGAGCAGGTGATGTGGACATGCCATAATGGGTAAATTTGGCTGTGGGATATGGAAATGTGAACTTCCTGTCTTGAGCATTTCGACTGAAGACTGGGGTGACGGAATGACTTAAACTGAATATTAAGAAAAAAAGGAAGACCTAAATAACAAAATGTTAATCATTGCAATTATTACTGCATTTACTTATGGACTACCAACAGATAATATGGAGTCTGTGCAAGAAAAAGTCCATTACTATCTGGATAAAGCAATTCATATGACAAATGTAGACATTGGAAATTGGCAAAAAAGCTAAAAATGCTTATGCAGAAAAAGAGAAAATAACTTAGCAAAGGGGAGGCACACAATCAAGTATTTGCGTGCGCCCAACCAACAAGCCACACATACTGATCATGTATGCTTAATGTGATGGCAGTGAAGCATCCAGGTTCAATGGCTTAACTATGTATGTATTATCATCAAACTAGAAAAATAAGAAAATAAAAAAAATCAAATTAAAAATAAATCTTTATTCCTCAAATTACGCTGTTTTGTTATATTCATTTTTTTATTTCGAATTTATCATTAATTTGTACATAACATCATTGTTATTTTCTCCTAGATATCACATGCAAAGAAGGTGCAACAGTGTGGAGCAGAGAACAGCAAAAAATAGGGCCAGAGATGAAGATGAAACTTTTGACTCCGATCCTAATCCTAAGATGCTCTGAAGTCTTCACTGCAGTTTGTAAGGGATGTCTTTTAGTAAGCTTTTACTGCTTACCATTGCACTTGTTTACAGGGGAAAGTTAATTTTCAAAACTGAAATTAATAAAAGCATATCTGAGATCTGTCCTTGTCACAAGAGTAATTGACCAACATAGCTTAGATCAGCATTGAAAAAGAGTAATAATGAATATGCATATTTCATGTTTCATCTGTTTTTACATATCTAGAATATTCTTTGCAGCAATCCAGATCCATAGATAAATTATAGAATTCTTCTTGGACCTCCCTGTCAATGTTAAGCTAGTACAGGGCAAGCCAGGCTGATGTTGTGTATATAGAAAATGGGAACTAAAAGGAGCACTCATAAAATCTCTCCCTGGCAGCAGGTGTCTCCAGTGCTGGACCCTGATCAGTGCATGAGGTAGCTAACTCTGAGCCAGAAGGAAGCTGTCTGACTTCAATCTATGAGCACGAACAACAGAGGAGAGGCACTCCATGTGAATGTACATAAAATAATTGTATCCATTGTATGTGTTATAAGGCCCAACAATACAGCAACCAGTAACTTCCCACCTTTTTGATTAGGCCTAGATGCACTATCTGGGGACCTTGGGGAGCCAGAGATACTGTTCTTTAGCCAGGCACCATAATTAAGGCTGGCTGAAGGTATCTGGGCTTTACCAGCTTACCTGACAGAAAACCTACTAATTAAATGGTAGCAAACTCCTGTGGCCAAGTTTACAGGCTCTACTAAAAGATTACTTCAGCCATGTTCACCACAATAAAGAACATAGAGATATATGTAGTAGTATCATTCTGTATTATCATATTACACTATCTGACTACTGCCATGGATGTTTAGCAATGCTAGTTAAAACTACCATCTTTAGTTCTTTGGAAATAGGATTAGAAGGGAGAATTCTGCATATTGGCTTCATGGATGTTCAGCTAAACTAGACAGTTTGCACATATAACACTGAATACAAAAGATTAACCCAATAACACTGGTAAAAAATTTGGTAAATGGACATGATCATGGGTTTATTGGCATGCATCAACAGTTTCCACTGTTTGTGCCAGGCTTGTCAGATAGTTTGCGGGCTACATTAGGCATCTAAAAGTTTGTATTTTGATACAATTTTTTAAGGTTTATTATCACTTTAGGCGCTATTGCCTAAAAGTTTTACCATAGAACTGATGCCGCTACTATCATTGAAAAACAAGCTCTGACCAATGAGTCAACAGCTCAGGAAGTGTCATATTTGATGCCACATTTGTCCACATGGAAATCACATCACCCAGAGCTAAAAAACATGCATTTTCCTATGCACCTACAAAACATAAATTAAGAGTGCTAAATTCTTCAACAGAATGGAAATTTTGAACTTGCCTCACTGGAATGCGTGTTAACAAAGTCTGTGATCTGTTGGACAACCATAAATTTCCATAAGTTTCTTTGGCTCAGCCAGGGAAGATAATCCCTTTACTCCCTGTTAAGGACATCTTTATCTTCAAAAGGTTGTGCATCACCCCTGCACAGTCCAAGGGCAATTATCTTAAGCTGCTTGTTGTAACCTGCTGCCCTGGAATATAAATGCATGATCCATAAGGAAATAATAACAGATAAATATGAACTGTTCAGCAGAGCAAAAACAAAACATACAAAATAAAAAAAATGGTAATAAACTCTAAGCAAGACATCTTACAATCAGGTATCAAATGCTACAAAAGCATCTATTTATTTGTTTGGTATCATAATAAACAAAGTATAATATATCATATAGCAAATATAGGCTATCTTTTGTTGTATTATGATATGAGTCAGATGACCCTAGGCAGAGGGAGAAAGAGAAAAATGTCTTCTAAGGTAACTGTGCCTTGCGTTTTTGGATACACGCCCAGTCTATGAAAAAAAAAAATTACCGTAAATAGATTAAAAATTACAGAAAATAATTAAACAAGAATGGTATAATACTAGCTTACAATTAGTTTGTTATCATGTCTTATTTTTTGGGTAAAACTCTTAGCATTAGGAAGCACAGCTCAAGAAAGTCCACATATATATTTTCTTCTTCCTTGCTGTAATTCATACCAAGACCTTGTGCAATATAATGCTAGAGTACATCAGTGAAATAGATTCACAGTAACTAATCAATATCTATGTCATGAGTACTGCAAATGTAGAACAGTTAAACAAGAATTACTACTAAACTTTTCCATTGGTGATAATCCAGGACACATACTTTTTCTCTTTTTCTTTTAAAGCCTGAGTAAATCTAGTTGCTTCATTAAAGATTATAGAAAATTTGGCAAATTATTTATTATGCTAGCATTGTTCATAATATAAAAATGAATGTACTTGGCATCATTTTGTTGTTCTCTGAAAGATAATGAAAATTGTACTAATTTTTTTTTTGCTACATCATATCATGTGGGCATTCACAAAATGTAGGCTAAATAATGGAAATATTACCAATAACCCACACATGCATCACTGTCCTATGTGGCCGTCATGTTTATCAGCACTATGAAGGCCAACTAACCACATATTCTGGCAAGAATATTTTGAGAGGGAAGACAAGTTATATTTTGTAAAAGTATACATTGTGAAGGTTTGTTGACCATTTTCAGAGTTTAAGGCCACAGCAGTTTTTGATTTGAAGAGCTAAAGACTTTGATGAGTAATTGTGGTCTTAGTTTAATCTGGACACAATATCTCCCACATCTAATGATGTTCATTTCAAGCAAATATCATGACCATTACAACATTTTTCTTAGTCAGTTTGGTTCTACTGTATTAATTCCCTTACCCTCATATAAAGAACCAGTCTTGGCCTTTCTTACCAAAAATGTGTGCAATGAAGGTTTATTAGCTTTTGCCAGAGAAGAGTGATCACTCGAGCCATGGAAGATTGGATATCACAGACCATATTAAGTTTCTTTTGTATTTGAAAGGACCATGACCAAGGCCCCAAAATTGTGTAGGAATGCCAAGCCCATAAAAATTTCTGGAGGATTTCAAGCTATTGAAAGTCTGAAGTAAATAAAGAAACAATGAAGAAAAAAAGACTGGGTATGCAAGAAGTAGGATCATTCTGATTTTGTAACCTATTACTATTTTTTTTTCCTATTAAAAAAAAAACAAAAAAAACATGAGACTTGGGCCCTACCATGGACAAATCATATTTCTCCTAATCATAACATAAACCAAACTGTGTACCCTCTGATTTACAATGATCATAAACACCCAGCAAAACCTCAAGCCAGAAGGATCATAATTAACCAACATAACTGCTAGAACCCTAAACTGGCCCTAATATTATGGTGCAATACAACTTTGTTTTTCCTCTACCTTCTAGCAGGTCATAGAAGCCTGTTAACTGCACTGTTTGAGACAATTAAGTGATCGTCTGGCTCCTCAACACATCTCTGGAGGTGG